TTCTTGTGCTTCATTTGCATCATCTCTTCTGGTCTGTTTTTGCGCAAGGGGTTTTTGAGCAAAACCAAACAGTGTGGATGTTTCCTTTTTGCGCAAAAAAACCCCTTTTTGCACAAGATCCTTATGCCTCCGAGAGGTTTTTTTTGCACAAAACGGAAACGTCCATGCTGCTTGTTTTTGCGCAAAAAACCCCTTGCGCAAACACGGACCGGAAGAGATTATGCAAATGAAGTGCCAGAAAATGGTAATCCGCGCTTCATTCGCATTGCCTCTTCCGGCAAACCCCGTGGTGTAGACATAGCCTAGAGCAGACATAGCCTGAACCCTTTCTATACTACTGGTTGGCGGAGTTTCATCTTGCTGCAGACGGGGTGCAAGATCGGGGGGGGGGACCAGCACTGGCCGTGTTGGGGTGACTGCCAGCATGGGACATGCGCCGTGGAGACACGTTTCTGGGAGGGCTGGTGACTGGGCCTAGGCCGTGCTGCTGTTGGAGGCACCGCGGCAGCGTTCGGTCGCGGAGTGGCTGCGGCGATGGAGACCATGCTGCATCCCTTTGCACGGCTCTGGTGCATCACAGGGTGGGCAGCCTCCCGGGAAGACCATTCCCTAGCTCTGCGGCTCTCACCCTCTCTCTGCCCCCAGGAGGTCAGCGGCTGGTACTATCTCCTTGGCGAGGAGCTGGGCAGGACCAAGCACCTGAAAGTGGCCACGCGGCGTCTGAAGCAGGGCATAGGTGGGTCGCCCTCGGCAGCGGGCTCTGGAGAGCGGGACATCCCACGAGCTAGCGGGGCGGGGGGGTTGGGTTTTCAGATTAGCGGAGACCCCGTCCTGTGCAGGCCTTCAGGGGAGACGCCGCGAGAAGCCCTCTTGGCGAGGAGCTGGGCAGGACCAAGCACCTGAAAGTGGCCACGCGGCGTCTGAAGCAGGGCATAGGTGGGTCGCCCTCGGCAGCGGGCTCTGGAGAGCGGGACATCCCACGAGCTAGCGGGGCGGGGGGGTTGGGTTTTCAGATTAGCGGAGACCCCGTCCTGTGCAGGCCTTCAGGGGAGACGCCGCGAGAAGCCCTGTGGCCTCACGGAGCATCGGCCCCCCCTCCACTTGCCACTCACTAGGCCCTGCTGCCAGTTCAGTGTGACTACGCCCAGTGGCTCCCAGACATCTTGGCTTGCTACCTCCACTCCCTCCCCCCAACTTGGGCGCCTTCTCCCCGCCCCAGCTTAGCCCATTGCAGCTCCGGGGTCTCTGGCAGCCCCAGGGCTGTAGCCTTGTTCGCTTGCACCCGGTGCCCGACCGGTGCCCTCTTGTGGCAGAAGGAGAACTTGCCCCGTGTGAGCAACGCTGCAGAGGCCCCAGGGTGCCCTGGGCTGTGAGCCCCCAGACAACCAGACCCCTGGCTCTGAGGTGACACTGTCATCAACACTCAGGACACCTGGCAGGGGTCCAGCCAGCCCAGTGGCCTGTCTGCCGACAGTGGCCAAGACCAGATGTTCCAGAGGGTGGGAACACAACAGGGAATCCTCACGGGATCCGTCCCTGGTCACCCATTTACAAACAGAGGCTGGGGACACCATTCCTACCCATCCTGGCTAATGGCCATTGATGGACCTAACCTCCATGATTCTTTCTAGCTTTTTTTTGAAGCCTGATAAAGTTCACCACATCCTCTGGCAAGGAGTTCCGCAGATTGACTGTGTGCTGCATGAAAAAACCCTTCCTTTTATTTCTTTTAAACCCACTTCCTAGAGCAGGGTCTGGGCAGGGGCACAGTTGTAGGGCTGTGCATGTGAAAGGCCCCTAGCAGCTGCCCATCTTGTCGCCATCAGGGACTCTCAGTGCCCTCCAATGCTCTCAGGAAATGCCACCCGGCTCCAGACGGGAGCTGGGCCCTCAGACTCCATGGCGCTTGGGCTGCGTGCAGAGGGGGAAGACGCCATGCAAGGCAGAAGTGTCTGCGTGGTGCCCGAGAGCAGCCTCTGTGACATGCTCTTCCCATTGCCTTCCAGAGCCGCCGCTGGTGAACCAGGGGTCTGAGAACATGGAGCAGCTCCAGGTAGGTGTGTCGGGCCCGGGCTGCCCCCGTGAACGGCGCTCCTGGGTGCAGTAACGACACAGGAAGCAGGGCCGGGGTGCTGAGGGGGAAGGCCCAGGGGGAGGCTGTTCCCATAGCAGGAGCTGTGCAGAAGGGCTAGTGCTGACCCAGCAGGGAGGGGAGGAGAGGAGAGGAGAGCAGAGGCCTGGGAGTTGCTGGAAAAAGAGGAGGAGTCCGACTGGGACCCTTAAATGAGTGGGCCTGGGCTGGTTTTCTCACGTGCTGGGAGGAGGCAGGATGGCAGGTGTATGGCTCCCTGTGCCAGGCTGTGTCTGAACACAGCAGGGTGGCTTCCTTTGCAGCCAGGAAGGGGCCTGCTCTCTGTTTCGGGCCTGTCCACACTACTGGTAGGGTTGCCAGGTGTCCGGTTTTCTGCCGGACAGTCTGGTATTTGCACCGTCTGTCCGGTAGAAAAATTCAGAAAACACCGGCCACGTGCAATGTGCAATGTGCAATGTCTGGTATTTTCTGAATTCCCGGCTGGGCGCCGGACGGAAGCCTGGCGGGGGCAGGGGAGTGACTGGGAGGCGGGCTGCGATTGGCGCTGGGAGCCCTGTGCAGAAGCGGGGCGGGGC